CTTCTAAGAAAAACTCAGGAAGGGAAGCTGGCCAAATTTCCATGCCTGACCAAGGCAGATGAATGCCAGGCTGGCTCCCATCTCGTTCCCTTCTCCTGCAGAAGGCAAAACTGCCCCCTTGGCTCCCATTGTCAGCATTCCACACCAACAATGGCCTGGCTCTCTCGCACTCTACACTCTATATTCATCTGTGAATCCCCCCTCTCCACAATGAGCACAGCCCTTCTTTTCATAGGAGAGGTTCTGAATGCCCAAGTGCAACCATAATTTAGGCCTCAGCATTAATAATGACATCTAAGAGCAAACTCCAGACTGGGCCCAAACAGTCATTTGTGACCATCATTAGCATCACACTGCTGGCTTTTGGATACTCTTCATTAAACCATGATCAAAAGAGCCACTGAAAACCTTTAAAAATGGCTCTGAAGTTTTTGGCGATTATTAAATATAATTTTCTAAACGAGGAGATAGGGCTTAAAAAAAACCTTTCATGACTCTATGACACATATTCCATTAAATCCAGACGGGGATAAAAATTAGCTTCAAAACATAGGGATGGGGAAAGCCTCAAGTTTCCCCTGCTTTCCAAGGGGGCTGTAACTTGAAATCGCAGCCGAAGTAAATAAGGACACGCTTACCAGCATATCCACAAGTTACCCACCAAGCATTCCTGTACCCCAAAAACTTTTCAGCACAAACTTCCCGAGCATCCCTGAGCTACTAGCTCACAGAAAGACTATTAGTAAGATATCCCAAGATGTCACCAAAAGGTGTCACCGCTATTAAAGACAAGGACTTTTTTGCAAAGGGTCAAAGTACAGTATTTTTTTTTCTTTTTGGTAGGAGCGGGGGTTTCTAGGCGTGGACCTGGCTGACCTTGAACTCAGAGACCCACCAGCCTCAGTTCAGTACTGGGATTAAAGGTGTGCACGACCACCGCCCAGCTCACTATACTTTTTAGAAGACTAAAAAAAAAGTGTGTTATCAGCTGGACATGGAAATTTAACTGAGTTGTTCATACCCAGCAAGATGGGCAGTATCCCTGCCCAACCCTGTGCTGTGTGAATGCTTACACTGCCATGTGGCCTGCACCAGGCACCTGCCACACTGGGCCTTCTGCTGTCAGCTGATAGATTATTACCAGTGGGACCCTGATTGAACTCACATACATGACAGTCCCTCTGTACTGAAGTGGCGGTGGTTAAAAAAAAAAAAAAAAGACAGCTGGGGCCACCATTCTAGCAATGCTGGAAACTCTTTAAATTTCTTTTTCCACTCAGTAAAAGCACTGAATATGGGGAAGGGGAAGGGAGATAACTTTGCCTTCCAAAATGACTCAGGACGCCAGGGTGGCACACACACCCCACAAGCAGCAGGAGCCCTCCCTGAAAGGTGTCCTTTTGGATGTCCTTTAAAAAAAATCAATAACAAGAATGGGAAAGGCAGGGTGTGGTGGCACAAGCCTTTAATCCCAGGATGTGGGGAGGAAAAAGCCAGCAGGTCTCTCTGTGAGTTCTAAGCCTGGTGACCTCTGTAACAGCATAACACCCAGGGCTATGTAGAGACCTTGGCTCAAAAAAAAAAAAAAAAAAAGGTTAACAAAACAAGCCATCCTGGACTCACTTTCCTTTACTGCTTTAAAGCTCTCTAGTGACAATATTTTTCTAAATTCAACACGTTGCTGGTTCAGTACACCAACGTTTACCGACTGCTTTCTCAGAACAAGGAAAAACGGTACGTGTAGGTTTTTCATAGTTTTTGCTGCTGCCACTTGTGTGTTGTGCTAATTCAATTTCTCTTTAAAGCACTTTCTAGACGTACAGGAGTAGCATTTCTGTTTGGAGCTTTTCAAGTCAAGAGTGAAGTTATTGATTATTCCCTGAAAGGGTAACGGATGGAGTAGTTAATAATTATTCCACCAGCAAGTTTTACTGTTTCATCTTGTGTACAAGAGCCACATTAACAACGCCAGGGAAAGCAAAGCACTCAGCGGGGACAGGAACAGGTGTGCCTGAGTCTTAAAAGGCCAAAATATTTCACAAAGTATGTCACCGGTGCTGGGTTTTGTTTTGTTTTTTTTTTTTTTACAGTGACAGTGTTTGTTTTTTTTGGTATCTAAACTTTTTAACTTTCTTAACTCTGAAGTGACACTCTTGCATTTTTCAATTTCTTCACTTAAGTTGACGACTAAATCCCACACAAACTGCAACTCAAGCTTAGCAAGGAAATGCATGTGAAGGACAAAGGCTTTTTTTTTAATCACAGCGAAGAAAAGGTAATTTACCCTGCCCCTCCCCCACAAGAACACCCATTCAAGGGCCAGTTTCAAAGCTCCCAAGTGAAACCGTAAATAACTCACGTGGTAGTGAGGTCCCCTCAGCAGGGCACACCACACTGCCCTCCACTCCCCCTTATTAACGTGCCATTACAAGGTGTGTGTGGAGGGAGGGTGGATATACGTACTCCTTGACCTTAGGTATCTTCCCCCAAATAAGAAACCAAAATACACCTTGTCAGGTTTGGAACTAGCTCCAAACCTGCTATCTTTTAATTCCCTCTAATATGGCTGCTTTCCACAGAGACGTACCCTGGTCCCCAACCCCTGGGGCACAGAAAAACCAATCAGTGTCATAAATCCCCCTAGCTTTCAACCCTCTCTCTTGAACTGGGGCGGTGGGGGAGGGGCGACCCAACATCAACACTTACACTAAACCCTTCAATGCTCTACAGAAATATGCTGGCTTATTTCCTTTGTTTGGTCATGTTATACTTGATCAAGTGTGAACGATTAAACTGGTTTCATTAAAGGCTAGTACATTCACGGCTAACATTAAACTTCAATGGCGACTATAAGCATATTTTGCAAGAGGGAGGACCTGCTTCTTGCTTGAAACCTACCAGCTCATTAACTTTTCTTTGGGGGGCTATAAAAAGGGCACTGGGGGTTTTTCCAGGAGTGTGTCAGAGCCAGACAAAAGGATATTCAACGTTTCAACTTTAAGATACAGTTGCTATTTAGAAAAGTAAAAAGGAAACCTTGTTTCTTTCATTAAAGTTGTTGGGGCCGAAAATGTTGAATTAGAATTTAAAATATTACTTTGTAATTGCTGTTAAAAAGTACTCTTTGAAATCAGGTGATTGGAAAAACAAGATCCTTTTAAAATCCCATTACTCAAGATGTAAAAGATGTATTTTGAAAAATGTTTCAAACCAGAACTCTCAGAAGCAGATGGAAACTAGTTCTTTAAGAATCTATCTGAAGGCAAACAGCAGCCCCAGGAGCCGAACGCGAGGTAACTCTAAACTGTCTTTGAACCCAGCACGAGGAGAGAAGGCGGTATCCATCTCCTTCGAAAAGAGGTCCCATAGTTGATGCATGCCGACAAAGTTTAAAAAAAGCAGAACCACTTTTGTAACCCCCCACCCCAATGCAATGTTTCCTCAAAAATCACCCACCTCAGATAAAAACGCTCACATCCCAAAGAATCGCAAATAAAGGTGTTGAGCATTTTAAATTTCCAACGTATCGAGTTCTCTTACCTACCCTTCAAGTCATTCACAACCGAGGACTAAGAAGATCCCCCCCATTTCTGATTTAAAAAAAAAAAAAAGAGGGCAAATATCCAGGAAGATCTATCTGTTTGCCAGAGGTTGGGGAGCCTGGCGTGGCAACGTAGGCCAGCAGTCTCCAAGCACGCAGAGATTTCATAAATTATTTCCCCGCTCCTCTACAAAACCCCAAACGTGGGGGTTCCCTGGAGCCAACTGCTGCTTGGACCGCCTCAGGGAAAAGTACGGGCTGGGGGCTGGGTAGGGGATACCACAAACACGCGCACAGTCGCACCCTTGGTGTCCGCGACCATCGTCGCCAGCGGAAAGCAAGCCACCGGGGGGAGTGTGTGCGCGCGAGTGTGTGCCCGCGGTGACCGCGCCGAGCTCTCGGGCCCGCGGCCTCCGAGCCCATGGGCGCAACATGGGCTGCAGGCGACCGGCCACGCCGCGGGGCCTCCCGCAGGAGCAAGGCCTGGGCGCGCCGGCACTCCCGCGCTGCCTAGCCCCGGTCGCCCGAGGCACTGGGGAGGGCGCGAGGCGGAGAAGAAAGGCTCTTCCCGCGAGTCGGTCCGGCTCCGCGGAGCATAACCATGAGCAGGAGGCGACCGAGATGGCCCGGCCGTACCCACGCCACGCTGGGTGCCTGGTGCCCAAGGCGCGCCCCAGTCAGCCCCTTCTACGAAAGTTTCTTTTTTGCTTCGCCCCACCCGAAAAGTGCGGCCCGGGCGAGGGCGCCGAGGACAGCCCGCGGAGGACGAGGAGGAAGTGGTGCCCGCGGGAGCGCGGCCGGGCAGAGGAAATGCCCGCGCCGCCCGCCCCCGCCCTTGCAGCCCGCCCCGGCCCCCCGCCCCGCCGCGACTTTGGCGGGCCGAGCCCCGCGCGCCACTGGCGGCGGCGGCGGCAGATGTGGCCCCGGCTGCCCCAACGAGCCAACAATGCCGGGCCGGCAAAACAAAAGGGATCCGCTTCGCCTCCTTCCCGGCCTCTCACTTACACTCTCGGGGAGCCGCGCGGGGTCCCGGGCCGACAGGGGCCGCGCCCCCAGGGGCCCAGAGCCACGCGCGCCCCGACTTGTCCCCGCCGACCCCGGTCTCTCCTCTCCCCACCCCCGCCCGCCCGCCTCATAGGCGCAAGGCCTGCCGCACCCCGGTATGCTCGGACTCCTGATCCCCAGGGATCCGGCCGTATTGTCCCCGCGGCGCGCCGCGCGCTCGTCCAAGATCGCCAGCGGCCCCCGCGCGCGTACCCACCGGGCTCCAGGAGAAAGCCGGGGGCGCCTAGGAAACCGTCGCCAGACGCCGCCGCCGCTGCCCTCCGGACGCCGCTGCGCTCTGGGTTTTTCTTTCCTTTTTTTTTTTTCCAATCCTGATGGGAAGGAAGGTGACCGCCTACTTCGCATTCATCAACTCTCATCACAACAACAAAAATCCTGGCGCAAAGGGCGGGCAGCAGGCGCAATCGGTAGCGAGGGGCGGCGGGCAATATCTCCCCCCCAGGCGGGCGTCCACCTCCGAGCGCGGCGTGCGGATACGGGGCCGGGGGCGCTGACCAAAGATGTCCTCGGATGCTGGCTGGCCCGGTGTCCTTCGCCCTCCTCCTCCTCCCGGAGTGGCGCAGTGAGGCGCGGGCACGGCGCCCCAGCCAGCGGCCGCAGGTGAGGCGGGGGCGGCAGCAGCCCCAGCCCTCCCCGAGGACCCCCCCTTACCTCGTCCTGGGTCGCCGGCGTCCACGGAGAAGGGCGCCCACCCGGGAGGCGGCGGCGGTAGCGGCGGCTCCCGCCCCTCCCACCCCACCCGGCGGCGGCGGTGGTGGTGGTGGCGCTGGCGGTGAGGCCCCCCCCCTCAGCGCGGCATGGCTCCCAGCTTGGTCTCCCGCTCCTCTGGCCGCCGCTGGCTCCTCTGGTCAGCTCCCGAGCCACCTTAAAATGACACACGCACACAGAGACACACACACAAAAACTTAATCTCTCCAGCTCTGCGCCCCACCCCCTCCCGCCCTCCCCTCCCTTCCTTTCCCTTCCCTTCCCTCCCTTCCTTCCCTTCCCTTCCTCCTCCTCCCGTCGCCGCCGAGCCTCTTCCTACTTCCCCACCCACCCCACCCCCTTCCCCCGCCCACCGGCTCCCAACCACCCCCCCCCCCATCCCGGCCGCGCGTCCTCTCGCCGGCCCGCGGCCAGGCAGGGTCTGCGCTGGGGGTCCCCGGCCCGCGCTGCGCCGCGCTCACCCCCCAGAGGATGCTGGCTGCAACTTGGATCCGGGGAGGGAAGGTCCTAGAAGCAGAGCGCCTCCCGGCTATTTGCTCTTCTTTATTTGTTTTCTCCTCCCGGGAAGGAGGAGGAAAGCGCAGAGAAAAGGAAAGGGAAGGACGGAAGCGGCGCGGGCCGCTGCTCCGGTGCCCTCTGGCTGAGCAGGAGCGAGGCGGGAGGCGAGGTGAGGGTCCTTGCCCGCTGGCTTTTTTTTTTTTCCAAAGGCGGGGTCTCTCTTTGCAAACCAATGACACAACCCCACATGGTCCGGTCTCGCCCCTACAGATACTTCTCACTACAAATCGGCTCTCTCCAGGGATTAGCGGCTACGCGAAAGTGCACACTGGCGCAGCGGGCAGCCAAGGGGGCCGGGCAAGGCAGACACTCCCCGGCCCAACCCCACGCCACCCTAGAGGCTCTGGGGAGGCGCGGGGGTCCCGAAGCCGGTGCGGTGACTCCACCCGCCCTCGCTTTCCTTCCTCCTCCGCCCCTTCCACGTGGGGCCCGCCACGTGGGGAGACGCGAGCTCCGGCGGGCCTCGCCGCGGTCCCTAGGGTGGCCCCGGCTCGGTAGGGCCCCCACCACGCCCGCGCAGCCGACCTGCCCTCTACTCGGCCCCGAGGCTCCAACTTCCTCTTGGGCCCTGCGCAGGCCACCGGTGCCGTCCCAGGCCCGCGAGGTCAGGCGCGGGCCGGCCACAGGGGGCACTTGCGTTCCCCGATCCCAGATCAGGGAGACCATGCCGGCTGTGGGTGCGCGCGGAGACCGATCTGTGTACTGGAACTTATCGCGGTGTGTTCGCTACGAGAAGCCAAATGTTTTTACACATTTAAAAATTTTGTCTTTCTGCTGTCTGGATGTCGCTGGGGCTGTTTTGAAAGCCTTGCCTTGGGTCGGATCCCCAGCCTCTCTGAGGCCTTGGGGTCCCGAGGGTCGTTTTGCGCGGTGCCCTTTCACGAGTCCACAAGTGTCTCGGTGTTCTGCGATTGGAATCTGGACTCCCAACGAGGATGGGGCACTGCGGCCGCGAGAACCTAGACAACATCTGGGCTGGATTCCTTGGCCATGACCCGCGACACCCGAGCGCTATCCCCGGAAGGGAGCCAGCTCCTTGCGCCCAGGGCCTCCCAAGACTTTTGGCGCGCGGCTTCTAAGGAGCCCTGTGGCGCTGAGCAGAGCCCTTGGGTGCAATTGTTTTTCAATCTTTTGGGGTGCTAGCGATTGAATTGAGGTGTTGGGTTGTACGTTCGAGAGGAGGGGGTCTAATGTCACAACTTTGAAGGTCACAGGGACCGCCATTCAGAAAACCACTTCTAGCGGTGTGGCCTACGGACCGGAGAAATTTATAGCGGACGTGGGCCGCGTGAGGCCTCTGAGTCCTTGAACCCAGCGCTGTGCGTCCTGGAGAGCACTTTATCTCGACCTGTTTGCTAAAGTGCACACCCAGATGCCGCCCGCAAGACCGGCATTGTAGGGTTTCTATGATTGTTTTATAGTCCTACTGGTTTTTAAACTAGTTTACAAACCTTTTCTGAATGGCAGTGCAGGAAAGGTCCCTTTCAAACATACCTGTCTTGGTTTTATGTGCCCCTAATAGGCCTGGGGCTGGTCAGTCACGAAGTAACTCACCATCCCGATGTTCGGTGAGAGAATTCACAGGTGTGCACCCACCCCTCACCCCTCCGTCTTCCAGGGCTTTGTGTTCTCAGGGATTCCTCTAAAGAGTTCACTGCTATCTCCAGCAGCTTCACTTCAAGGTTGTGGGGCCCAAGACCTGCTTGTAAACTGACCTTGCGGCATACCCCAGGCTTCTGTGCCACCAGTTCCTGCCTTGTGAGTTGCTTGGTCCTATGGTCGTGAAAGCTCCTGCTTCTTTGTTTCTCAGATCTTTGCCCTCGGTGGTCTTTTATTCTTCCCGAGAAACCGTGGCCCGCTGGCTTTTCCTATTGCTTGCTCAGCTTTCCTCCAGTCTAATTTTGAATTCCATTTTAATACTATGGTGGACCCTGCGGGCTAGCTGAGTCTGCAAAGGAACTGCCAAGCCCAAGGATCTGAGTTCAATCCCCAATGCCTAGTGAAAGGAAAAGGAAAGAGTGGACAAAGTTGTCCTCAGACCCCTGCACATGTATCACAATTCACACAACCAAAGGAAAACACGACCCTCTTAAGATTTCAGAACTAAGCCGGGCGGTGGTGGCGCACGCCTTTAATCCCAGCACTTGGGAGGCAGAGGCAGGCGGATCTCTGTGAGTTCGAGGCCAGCCTGGTCTACAAGAGCTAGTTCCAGGACAGGCTCCAAAACCACAGTGAAACCCTGTCTCGAAAAACTAAAAAAAAAAAAAAAAAAAAAAAAAAAAAAAAAAAAAAAAAGATTTCAGAACTAAAAATTATTCCAAACTTCTGCCTGACAGCCTGCTTTTTAAAATATGAAGCCCAGGCAGGGGGAAGCAGCGCAATGGGCAGAACACTTAGATGAGGTCCCAGGTTCATCCCTTGCTCCTTGGAACAGGCGAATCTGGCAGCCACCTAGATGGTGTTGACACAGGTAATACTTTGGCGCTGGCACAATGGCTCGGTGTGTAAAGCACTTGCCCCTGAGCCTGGCAACCTAGAAAGGGCAAACTGACTCCTCCAGGCTGTCCTCTGGTCACCATGCATGTATCATGAATGACATGCCCACCACACAAAATAAAAATAAACAAAAACCCAGTGCTGGAGAGATGGCTTCGCAGCTAAGAGCACTTGCTTCTCTTCCAGAGGGATCTGATCTCAGTTCCCAGTAACCACATAGGGTGGCTCACAGCCACTCCCAACTCCAGCTCTGAGGGATCCGATGCCCTCTTCTGATCTACAAGGGTGCCCACGTGCGTGTGCATACATACACACTCAAATAAAAATCTTTAAATGTTAAATTATTTATTAACATGTGTTGGTATTTTGACCTGTGTGTGTGTCTGTGTGAGGGAGTCCGATCCACTGGAACTTGAGTTGTGAGCTGCCATGTAGGCGCTGGGAATTGAACCAGGGTCCTTTGAAAGAGCAGCCCAATGCTCTTAGCCGCTAAGCCATCTCTCTAGCCCCTTTTAAATTTTGAAAATATAAAGAGACTCTAATAGATACTTCTGTGAGGATGATGTGCGAATGGCCAAGAAGCATGCTCTCAAAATGTTCAGCCTCAGTCACTAGGGAACTACAAATGAAAACCACAGTAAGATAGCACTAATTATCCACTGGCGTGACTGTCATCAGCAGAAGGGGAAATGATGTGGAGAAATGGGAGCCCTTGTGCAGTGCTGATGGGGGTGTGACTGGTTCCCCACGGTGGGAGTGGCAGCTCCTCAGAAAGTTAACGTAGAATTGCTATATGGTCCAGCAATGTCATCTCTGATTACTGGTCCCCAACGAACTGAAAGTAGAAGCTTAAATGGTTGTGAATATACCCATATTCATAGTAACATTATCTCCAACAAGCAAAAGGTGAAAACAGCACAGTGTCTATCAGTGACAGATGAATAAATGAAATACGGACTATTTATTATTCAGCCTTTAAAAAACAAATAAAGGGCCATGTGGGGTGCTGCACACCTTTAGCCCCAGCACGTGGAGAGCAGAGTTAGGTGGATCCCAGTGAGTACAAGGCTATCCTGGTCTACATAATGAGTTCCAGGACAGCCAGGAACACATAGTGGGACCCTGTCTCAAACCAAGGAATAAAGGGCTAGGGAGATGGCACAGTGGGTAAGAACACTTGCTTCACACATGTGAACACCTGAGTTCAGATCCAAAGCACCCAGATAGAAAGCCAGGATAGCTGCCTAGCACTGGAGTGGGGTATAGTGGCGCGAGAGATGAGAGAGTGACTAGGGCTTGATAACCAGCTAGTCTAGGAGAAAAAAAAAATGCCCCCACTTCAGTAAAAGTGGAGAGTGACCGAGCAGGACACCCTCATCCTCTCCTGGCCTATGCAGTTGCGTGGGCATGCCCAGCTGTACACACACACACATGCATGCACCTCACTAAAAAGAGGAAATTCTGAATTGTCATAGTATAGATAAATGTTGAAAAAAAGGCTTAGTGAAGCAAAGGACAAATAATGTTTAACTCCGTTTACACGTAGTAAGTAAAGAAGCAAAATCAGAAAAAGCAGAGCAGTGGCAACTGGGAACTGAAAGGAAACAGCGTTGGCATTATTGTTCAGCATGTGAGGCACTTGCAGCCCTGCAAGCCTGGGGACCTGGGCTGGAGCCCCAGCACCACATGCATACACACTGGAAATTACAATAAAAATTTTTTTTTTACAGGGCAGGAAAGACAAAGGCAGATGTGGCTCACATGTGCAGTTCTAGCTGGGGCAGGAGGTTTGCCATGAATTCTAGTCCATCCTGAGTGGCAGAGTGAGACACTGCTGTGAAATGGGAAAAAGAAGGTGAGTCCCAGACTCGGGAGGCAGAGGCAGGCGGATCTCTGTGAGTTCGAGACCAGCCTGGTCTACAAGAGCTAGTTCCAGGACAGGCTCCAAAACCCTGTCTCGAAAAACCAAAAAAAAAAAAAAAAAAAAAAAAAAAAAAAAAAAAGAAGAAGAAGAAGAAGGTGAGGAGACAAAGTTAGGTACGGAAGGGTGGCTCCCCAGGTGCAGTTTCTGCACACTGGCAAAGTCGTGCTGATGAGAAAGCCAGAGGTGAATTCTGACAGACTGGAAATAAGAGCTCCGTGTGCTTTCATATTTAAAAGGAAGTAACATGAGTTCACAAAGGTTACAGCAAACATTTTTTTTCCCTCATAGTATTTATGAGCAGGCTAGGCTGGTGGCTCACAGTTGTTAAGTCCAGCGCTTGAGAGATTGGAGCAAGGAATGACTGTAGGTTGGGCACCAGCCTGGCCTTCCAGACAAGCAAGGACTGGAAAGTAAGATCTTGCCTCAATAGGCAGACTCTCTATTCTCTTTTGCCTAATGGTCTGAGTTAAATCAAGAGTGTTGCTTTTTCTCGGGCCATGCCATTAACCAAGCTTCTGAGGACTTGTAATGCCCAAGGGCACTGGGTATACTGTGGGCTTCAGCTCTTTTGCCAAGGATTCTCCAATCCCCTGGCTTCCATCTTTCCTGGTTGACCTCCACCTTTCCTGGTTGGTTGCACGTGGTTCAGACTCTCCCTCCAAAGTTTCTTTCCTTGTTACAGGGATATCCATTCCCTCTTCTTTTTGGGGCTCAGGAGAAAGCGTTCTAGCTTTGCATGAAGAGGTCTGGTCTGGTAGAGACGCATGGCTCCAAGATGAAGGCAGGTGTGCCTGGACTAGGTGGAAGGAAGCATTGTGCCTGCTGCTGTCACCAACACCGCTGGTGGTGCCATCTTCTTATTCTGCAGTGCCTATTCTATTCCTTCTAACCTTGGGGTCCATCTGGCCTCAATGAAAGGGAGTGGGGATAGGATGTTCTCACGGTTTGCCATTAGATCATGCTTTTGCATTCCCTGCTGGTATCCAAGGGAAGGAGGGGCAGTGAGCACTGGGCTAGACTCGTCAACACCTGGCATAAAAGGAGGTGGTGCACACTTATAATCCCACACTCCTCTAGACCACAGGCAGGAGGATCAGAAGTTCAAGGTCATCTTTAGCTGCATAGGGAATTCAAACCCAGCCTAGGCTACCTAAGACACTGACAAAAAATAAAAAAATAAAAACAACCAGCTGGGCCGTGGTGGTGCATGTCTTTAATCCCAGTACATGGGAGGCAGAGGCAGGTGAATCTATGTGAGTTCGAGGCTAGCCGGGCTTACAGAGCTAGTTCCAGGACAGGCGCCAAAGCTACACAGATAAACCCTTGGGGGGGGGGGGGGGATCAAAACAATTAAAACCAGTCACCTGCTGGCGAATGTTGGTAACCTCTGTTCTGTGTTGCTGCCTACAAGAGAACAAAGTGCAGATGGGGTTGACTCCAGCAGTCGAGAGGCACCAGCAGGCTGATTTCAGTGAGTCAGAGGCAAGTCTAGCCTACTTAGTGAGTTCCAGGTCAACCGAATCTATGTAGCAATAGATTTGTCTCAAAAACAAAAGCAAACGAAACAAAGGGCATCTCTCTTGAAGAGTTAATGAATTTGCTTTCTAACAGATCCTTCACCCAGATTCATTGTTACCTGGACTCACAGGAAGTTCAAAATTAAATTCATTGCCTAAGGATGCCAGCCATTCTATTACTATTTTCTCCTTCCTTCCCTTCCTCCCTCCCTCCCTCCCTCCCTTCTTTCTTTCTATCTTTTTCTTTCCATCTGTCTGTCTTTAATCCTTTCTTTTTCTTTTCTATTTATTATTATTATTGGCTTTAGTTTTTTGCACTGATTGTACTGGAACTCACTCTGTAGACCAAGCTGGCTTTGAAATCAGAGATCCGATCCGTCTGCCTCTGCCTCCCAAGTACCAGAATTAAAACCAGAATTAAAGGCATATCCCACCACCACCCGCCTTCTAGTACTATTTTCTTTCTTTCTTTCTTTTTTTTTTTTTCGAGACAGGGTTTCCCTGTGGCTTTGGAGCCTGTCCTGGAACTAGCTCTGTAGACCAGGCTGGTCTCGAACTCACAGAGATCCGACTGCCTCTGCCTCCCGAGTGCTGGGATTAAAGGCGTGCGCCACCATCGCCCGGCTCTAGTACTATTTTCAATGAAGCCACAAACCCTTTCTGTACTTGCTGTGGGAGAGGGATGGTTAGTGGTGTTTGAAAAGGCATTGTAAATACACAATTGTAATATACATTGTAATATACAATTATATTTAGAAAAAATAACTTTTTTAGGGGGCAGCACTAAAGTATGATCTCATGTTGCTCAGGCAGCCCAGCCCAGGCTTCCAGGGACTCTTATATTTTCTCTTCTCTTCCTGCTATAGCAGCACCAGGATTACAGACACACTACCACGTCTGGCTGTTTTCTGAGGCTGCTGGGGATCTGAACTCATGTCTTCACATTTGTGCTTTACCTACTGAGCCTTCTCCCCAGTTCCCAGTGGTTTG